ATGCTGAATGTCCCCTGAGGACAGCAGCCCTGGCTGTAGGCACACTGTGATCACACAACAAAATGGGGCACTGGGCTTCGCTCTGGGTTCTGCTTGGAGAGGGTCTATGAGGCTGGGGCTTGCTAGAGCAGGACAGACAAGTGGCGGAGCGCCCGCTTCTTGAGGTAAACGCTTTACATCTTGAAACTATTGTGATTCTTCACCATCCTCTGATACTGACACCCACACCAGATAAAACAATAAACTAGAAAGACCCCAAACAGGAAACCAGACCCATTACAGCCAAGTATCATTCATGAACATCAGTGACTCAACAGTAAACGAAACTTCGGGGAATAAAATCCAACTCATTAAGGATACATCAAAACCAAATAGGACTTATACTAGGCATGCAAAGTCAGTTCATTAGTAAGTCCATTCATATCATATATAGTAATAGATCTAAGAAAATAAGTCACTGACTTACCTTTATAGTTGATGGAAATTGCCTTTGACAAACTTCCATAGCCATCAAAACAAACAAGTAGCAATCAATTCCAACTCCAGGAGGCTACAAGTGTGTCAGAGAACTGGTGCAGTGTAGTGAATTACTTAATATGGTCCTCCAAGCCAAGCCTATGTGACTCCCACACAATGACTGAGTGGAACTATGCAAATCAGGTGTATGGAACCCCAGTGAGGAGATTGGTCAGTATTGTCATCCCACTGGGCTTAAAGAGAGCCAGTCCCAGAGCACAGGGGAATGACTACCACCAAGAAGAAGAGATGGAGTGAAGCAGGTGCCTTGGATCCAGAGCCCTGTACTGAGAACATCCTCAGCACAGGAGATTCCGAGAGAGCTATGACACCGGAGACAGAGAGACGGCAAGAAGTAGTAGCAAAGAAACAGCAGCAGAGGCAGGAGAATCAGGAGACCTGCAAGAGAAGCACAGAGGGCTTTCTAGCTCAGAGAATGAGAGAGCAGATTGCTGGGGGCAGAAAGCTTGCTGGCAGAATGGGGAGCCTCTGGCCACTTAGCAGTGGAGTGAAAAGAGCTTTATAACATATATGCAAGCAGGCCAGAGGCCAGGACAGCCCAAGAGGACCAAGCGGCTGAGGACTAGAGAGAGACCAGGCTATGGCACAGCTGAACAGATGATGTCCTAATCAAAGAACTGTATCCTGAGCATTCCTGAACAGGAATTGTAACCCCTTAACTTCCCTAATAAACCCTATAAATGTGAGTGTGGTCTTTGAATGCTGTGTGGCCATTGCAATGAATTACTGAACCAAGCAGAGGAGCAGAGAGTGGTGTAGGAGGGGCAGGTGGTGTCAGAACTGGTGAAAAGGTTGGAGAACTGGTGAAAGGGTATGTCTGGATGGCTGATCTTGATTCTCTCTCCCTTTTGTGAAGTTAGAGGAGGTCAGACATCTCCACCATGCCATTTTTACAACTTGGCTCAGTGGGGTTTCCAATGGTTGTGACATTTCTGAAATAGATTGCCAGGCCTTTTTTCCTACTGCATCTTAGTCTGAAAGTTCCACTAAAACCTTATCAACATCACAGTGACATGCAAACCACCCTGACAGACAGGGAGCAATTGTACATGAGGTGGAAGGCAGTGGAAGGCAAACAGTAGTTACCTAGTGCTGCTATAACACAAACACCAGAAAAGAACAGGAATGAATCTTCTCACAGGCGCCGAGGCCAAAAGCCAAAACCGGGCTCTCAGCCATGTGGGTTCCTTTGGTAAGCCTCTCTCCTAGTTTTTCGTGCCTATCAGGGATACTTGCAGTCTTTGGCTTGTAGACGATCATCAGATGGTCTGTCTTCCTCCATTACTGGATGGGACCTCTGAATACCATAATGATGTCAGGTCTTCCTAACTTAGGTTATAAATTTAATGCAATACCACCCAAAAATTATCAACAACTTTAATGCAATCCCAATAAAAATATCAACTGATATTAGTCTAGTTCATAAAAAATTCATTAAAAAAACTTACTTGAAACCCAAACATGGAAAAATAGCCAGAAAATCATTAGAGAAAAAACAAAAAGAAGGTAATAGCCACACTAGATATCAGAACATGCTAGAACATCTATGACACATATTGGACAAGGGACTTGTATCCAAAGAGCTCTACAAACTCAGCAACAAGAAACCAGAAAACCCATTTACAAAATAGGCAGTAGATCTGAAGCTATATCTCACTGAAGAAGGTGGCAAATGAACACATGGAAAGATG